AGTCAAGTTCAAAGGAACATAATAATGTCTTACCTGGTTCAGCGCCTGGTGCGCCTTATTAAAAAGTCATGACACGTTCACCTCATTCATTTTTGCATGGTACTCCTTGGTCATCAGGCATCAGAGGTAGCTAGCTATCCCCACGAGAGCATATATGCCATGGGCATCCTCCGGGACGGTCAGAATAATTGATCTCTTGCGATCAGGGTCCACACTCGGAGCAGGGAACTGGTTGATCAATTTCAGGCTCGAACTCGGCCCGCCAACTTCCGAGGATGTGTCCTTCTTCGGAACTTCTAGGTCGCTCATCCCGGAGGAAGTTTCTACAACGGACGAGTCCACACCGTCAAAAAAGGAATGAAGGGGATCGTCCGCGCCATGGACCCCTTCGTTGTACTTCTCCTTTCCCGCTTGGTCCTCCTCGAGCATGGACTCGGTGTAGGAGGGCGTCCCCAAAATCTCTACTTATACCGGGTGCCTTCTTCGGGGCGGAGCCGGCCTCTTGGGGAGTCCCTCCCCGGGTCTCCATATCGACCTCTCGAGTCTGAGGGAGGTCAGCCTCACGAGTTTCCCCTCTGGATGCCTCTTGCCCCCAGGGAATGGTCGTCTCGTGGGTGACAAAAATGAGATTTTCCCCCGGCTTGTCTCGAGCCGGAGAAGAGAATCAGGGTCTGGTACTCGAGAGTTTGAGATTGTTTTGGGCTTGCGAGCTACCCTCTTCTTTTGTTTCTTTGCTTCAGGGCCCGGGGAGCCTGATGGTTTCCTTTTCCTTTTCTTCTTTTCCTCCGCGGCAGCCCTAGGATGCCCCACAACGGAGGGATCAACAGACAAGGGGACGTCCCCCGCCCCTTCCAAAGGCCTAAGTTCGGTGGTCTTAGGAAAACCTGCAACAACAAAGGGGAAGGAAAGTTAGTATAATGAAAGTAAGAAGCATGGCATTAACTATTTATAGAGAGGCCTTACCAGGAGAACGGGCCTCCCATTGGCCCTTCGAAAGACCGTTCCATGCGCGTTCGGAGTATGTCATTTGTTTACAGATGCCCTCAATCCATTCCTTTAGATGGGGGACTATAGTTGGAACACGAGCGACGGCTTCACAATCACAAGTATGAATGCGAAGGGAGAAATAATAAAAAAAGATAAAACAAAAAGGAGAGACTGCACTTACGAGATCCGTTCCACTTCTCAGGGAAAGGCATGAAACTCGGGGGGAATCTCGTCTTCAATCTTCACACGAACGAAGCATCTCTACCAGCCTCGGTCTTGCTCTTTGTGAATACTCGAAAATGGGACATTGCTGGCCCGACGAGTAAGCTTGATTAGTCCCCCTCAAAAAATTTGGGGACTGTATAAATGAAGTAAATGATTGATCGTGAACCGACGAGACTTGGTCTTGTTCAAGAAGTAGCGAAGGAGGATCACGATCCTCCATAGAGATGGATGAATTTTTCCGAGGCACACCTCGTACCTCTTGCAAAAATCCAAAACAACCGGGTCCACCAGGCCCAATGTGAAGGGATAAGCGTAAACACTTAAGTACTCTTCCACGTGGGTAGTAATGGCGTCCCCAGGCCTGAGGACTACCACATCGTCGTTGTCTTCCCAATATCAGTCCTTTCGGACCATGGGAAGAATATCTTCGGTTAAAGCATATGTACCTTGATGCTCTTTCACTCCGATCCTATTTGCGTGTGGGTTTCTCGACCTTAAAGTCGTCTGCAATTGAGGAACCCTCGGGAATATATATTTTTAAGGGAGGCTCGGCGGCCGTTTCGTTGGCATCTACCTCTGGAGAAGCCGTTTTGAGGGCTACTACTTCGGTAGCAGCCGCCTCAATACCGACGGTCGTTTGGGAAGATGAAGAGAGGACTTGTTGAGGAACCGAAGGCATGTTCCTTATTAAGTCTTTAACCGAGCTCAGACTCACTATCATCATTGGTTTGGCTATTTACTATATCTTTTATTTGATTTATCTAACGTCATTAGTCACTTGTTTTGAATTAGTCCACATATCCTTAAAACCGCGTATAAATTCAATCGATATTCATTTTTAAGGGTAAACAAGTATGATACACATACTAGCATATAGAGAGAGAACTTATGCCTTTCCCAATCCGTTTGCGTATCTTTTGGTGTAAAGATAAGTGTGAATTGAACCTAAAAGTAGTCTACGCCTAGCCGAGAATGATTCTGAGAATTTATATTATTCCAAAATTGTAGGCAAAGTCACATGGAAATATATTTCCAACACAGCTTTAATCTCCTTCTCGTCCACTTTGTAAACTTGTTAGTATTCTCAATATTGAACAAGTTTCAACATTTGAAAACCCTCGAATTTCAACTTTTGATAAGTCTTTTTCATACGGGTAATTAAGGGTCACAACAAGACCATATAGTTTGGACGATTTTCTGAGAAACAAATCTCAAGAATCTTTGGATAGAAAAGGGAGGTGAGAGGGAGATAAAATAACTTGAGATAGTGCGACGTGTCAAACTTTGTGCCCTGAGATGGGCCAATTATTTTAGGGAGCAAATCTAATAATTATTGCTTCTTACCCTAAAAGGTCACCTAAATAAGACTTGTCCCTGCTAAACTCTTTCTCAATTTTTTTTACGGCAAAGGGCAAATATACCCCTCAACTTTCGAAAATGATCTAAGAAAACCCCTCGTTATACTATTAGGTTATCTATATCTCTGCGGTCATACTTTGGGTTCAAATATACCCATCATTTAAACAGAGGGACACATGCCATCGTCCCGTTGGTCAATTCTAAATATCTCCTAATTAATTAAAAAGATCCATTATCCATACCCGAAAAATAATTTTTTTTTGTAAAAACTGGAAAAAACTAAAAAACATTTTTACTAAAAACTGAAAAAAACAAAAATATTTTTTTTCCAGTTTTTACAAAAAAACTGCTTTAAAAAAACTAAAAAATATTTTCTAAAATAATATTTTTGTAAAAACTGAAAAAAAAAACTGAAAAGCAATTTTCTAAAACAACTAAAAACTGGAAAAAACTGAAATATTTTTAACTAAAACCTGAAAAAAAGAAAATATTTGTTTTTTCAGTTTTTACAAAAACATTGCTTCAGAAAATTGATTTGCAGCTCTTTTTTCAGTTTTTATAAAAATATTATTTTAGAAAATATTTTTCAGCTTTTTTTAAAGCAGTTTTTTTGTAAAAGGTGGAAAAAAAATAATTTTATTTTTTTTCAGTTTTTAGTTAAAAAGAATTTAATTTTTTCCAGTTTTTACAAAAAAAACTTACTTTAGAAAATTGATTTTTAGCTTTTTATTTGTTTCAGTTTTTACAAAAAAAACTTACTTTAGAAAATTGATTTTTAGCTTTTTATTTGTTTCAGTTTTTACAAAAACATTGTTTTAGAAAATATTTTTCAGTTTTTTCTAAAGCAGTTTTTTTGTAAAACTGAAAAAAAAAATATTTTTATTTTTTTCAGTTTTTAGTAAATTTCTTTTTTAGTTTTTTTCAGTTTTTACAAAAAAATAATTATTTTTCGGGTATGGATAATGAGTCTTTTTAATTAATTAGGAGTTAATTAGAATTGACCAACAGGACGATGACACGTGTCCCTCCGTTTAAATGAGTGGTATATTTGAACCCAAAGTATGACTGCAAGGGTATAGATAACCCAATAGTATAACGAGGGGTATTCTTAGACCATTTTCAAAAATAGAGAGGTATATTCGGCCCTTTGCCCTTTTTTTTTTATATATGTGGATGTGTGTAATCATTTACTTAATCATTTTATGTTCCAATAATGCCTACTTTTTGTATTTAATGTAACTCATATTATATTGAAAACCTCAAGCGCGACAAAGATCATGATTTACCATTGCATGGAGTTGGAGAGAGCTTAGAACTATTAGTTTAGGTGATCTGCTTCATCTCATATTAACACCTAATTGAATCTTCATGGCCTTCTCAAGTACAAGTCGACGCATCTGATATCTACATAGGACATGATCAAACTATCTCAAATAAAAGTTCCAAGTCAATATTACATACCCCGGGGCGAATTTAGTGCATTAGTTACTAGTTCTCGTGAACCCAACAACTTTTGTCTAGATCCGGTATTTATATTGAAAAATTTATTAAATATATAAGAATATTTAGCTTGGAACACAGTCCGTTAATCCATTATTGTATATTAACTTAAGATTTTTGTAGGAACCCATAAACTTAAATTTTTGGATCCACCTCTACGTACCCGTACAGGAGGTAAGAAAGCTCACAGGGATAACTGAGAAGAAAATGTCGAAGATAACTTATATCATTTGGCTACAAGAACAGAATTTACATAGAAAACGCGAAACATAGACATGTACGACATAATGACAGTTACATAGTACTAATACTTATTAAAACTCCCAAAAGACCCTACAACTACAAGGATATTTGGTTCTCAAACAAAAAGGCGACGGCGACGACAGCAACAAAAGAAAATACAGATCTAAAAACAATGTAGAAGCCTAAGAGGCCCTAATGCCCCATTTCAAAACATATTGTACGAGGTCACTTATCTCATCTTCGTTAATACATCCATCTGTTGAAGTATTAGGTGTATAGACAGTGGAATGTACAATTGGATGCCAGCTAAGCTAAGTTAGTGGAAGGTTTAGTTTGTCAAGTAGGTGTGTTAGTTGCTAACTTGTTTGTATATATACACGGTTAGTATATAGTGTTTGTAACAAAAAATAACAGAAAATGAAGAAACGTTCTTCTCCATTAGCGTGTAACCGATTCTCCTTCATTCTCAGCTTAGCAGCTCAGATTAGATCTAGGATTTCATCATAGTATCAGAGCTTGTATTTATGAATCACGCTTCGTTATCAATTATCTAGATCTAAGCTTGCTCAGTGTTTGTATTTTGATAAATTCTTCGATATCTTCGAAGTTAGGGCTAATTCGAACAATTAGCAGTTTCTTCTCCGTTTTTTTTGCTTCTTCATCTGAGCTCGAGTGCCTCATTAACAATGGCAGTCGAGAATGAAGAAATTGACACAAGCATAGGAGCTGCTGGCGGTAGCTCAACTTGAATTGATCAACATCATCCCCTGTTTCTTTAGCCATGTGATACTCCACGTAGTTCTCTGATTTCAGTCAAATTAACTAGACCTGAAAACTATACAATGTGGAGTAGTGCAATGCGTGTTAGTTTACTAGGAAAAAGTAAGCTAGGGTTTATGGGTGGTAGATATCCTAAGGAGAAATTCGATGCGTCTCTTCATGAATTGTGGAAAAAATGCAATGCAATAGTTCTCTCTTAGATTATGAACTTAGTAAGTGCTGAATTATTGAGTGGTATGGTGTATGCCTCGAGTGCTCACAAGGTTTGGATGGATCTCAAGGAGAAATTTGATAAAGTGAATGGTTCTCATGTGTTATATCTTCATAAGCAGATTGCTACATTAACCCAAAGGATATCATCTGTGTCTACTTCTTCAAGCTGAAAGAATTCTGGGCAGAATTCGATGCTTTTATGCCCTGCCCTAGGTGTGGTTGTGATGAATCAAAAAAATATGTTGAACATTTCCAGTATCAAAGGTTACTACAGTTCTTATGGGGATAAATGAATCCTATTCTCAGTCAAGCAATCAGATTTTGTACATGTTGTATATTCCTTCCATTAACAAAGCCTATGCTATGATCATATCTTAGGAAAGCAGAAGATCTATGTGCCATTCATCACAGGTCTCTGAAGTTGCTTAAGGCATTGCCTTGTTTAGTAGAAAAACCACAGGAATACCAAATAACAATACTAGTATGTTCAGTGGTAAAGGGTACAATAATGCCACAGGAAATTATACTCATACTCGAGGACTCAACAACAATTATCCTAGTGGATATAGTTATACTGGAGGAAGCAATTACAGGTCCAAGAAGAATACTATGTACTGTGACTACTGCAACTTTAAAGGGCATACTAGGGAGACATGTTATAAACTAAATGGATATCCTCTAGACTTTATGACCAAGAAAAACAACTGCTACAAGGAACAATCAAACTTTTATAGCTAATTTTGCAGGTACCTCACAAGTTCAACAAGGTGCAATGCCTGGACAGGGGACTCATAATGTGATGCTCAATATTCCACACTTTATTCAAGAACAGTACCGTCAGATAATTCAGCTACTGGGAAAAGAAAGTGAGGGGAACAACTCAACTATAACTACACCATTGCCAGCAGGTATGACATCTTGTGTAGTGACTCCAGAAGTGTTGGCTAAGTGGATAGTGGATTCAGGTGCCTCGAGTTATATGGTACACAGTCTTGGCTTATTAGTTAATCCTAAGAGGTTGAATAATGGTAAGAATGGTACAGTTCAACTTCCTACAGGAAATGCTGCTTCCTTAAGTCACATAGGATCAACTTATATTAACCAGGGCCAAACAATTAGTAATGTACTTCATATACTTGACTTCAACTACAATCTTTTATATGTCTCAAAGCTAACAAAGGAGATGAGATGGGCAGTGATGTTCTTTCCTGAATTTTGCATTTTTCAGGAACTCTCCAGTGGACAGGTGAAGGGGATTGGTAGAGAAGATGATGGTCTTTATATTTTCTATTCTGCAGGGGTCAATACAACTGACATTCAAGCTGTAGTTCCCAGACCAATTCCTAGGCTATCAACTCAAAAGAACTTACCTACTGTTAATATGATCACTAAGAATAGAATAAAGGATGTTGCCTTATGGCATAAGAGGTTCGGACATGTGCTTACAAAGACCTTGAAAACCATGGTTTGATTTCAGAATCACAATTACAAGAATTCTGATGACACTTGCATTATATGCACTTTGCAAGACAAACCAGGCTACCCTTTCCTTTAAGTACTACTGATGTTTGCTTTCATACATTACATGGTGATGTATGGGGACCCTATAAAGTTTCTACTTATGATGGAAAGAAGTATTTTTTAAATCTTGTAGATGACTATTCTCGATATACTTGAATATTTCTGCTGCCTACCAAATCAGAAGTGATTGTTGTCCTTAGATCTTTTATTTATATGATTCAGAATATCTATTCAGCATATGTGAAAGTTTTTCGATCAGATAATGGCAGTGAATTTCTCAACTCTCAAGTAGCTAAGTTGCTAGAGACTAAAGGCATAATTCACCAGAGTTCTTGCATATATATACTCCACAACAGAATGAAGTAGCTGAGAGAAGGCACATGTATATTTTGGAAGTGGCTAGATCACTGAGGTTTCAAGCTTTTGTACCTCTCAAATTCTAGGGTGGGTGTGTCACCAATGTTGTGTATATTATAAATAGGCTACCTTCAACAACCCTTCAAGGTAAGTCTCTTTTTGAAGCTTTAATTGGTCATGTTTCTCCTTTGGACAATATGAGAGTGTTTGGATGTCTAGGATATGTAACTGATGTGAGAAGATCAGATAAGTTTGCTCCTAGAGCTGTTCCAGCTGTATTTCTAGGCTATTCTATGACACAAAAGGGCTACAAAATGTATAATCTTCTCTCAAAAGGCTTTACTGTCAGTAGAGATGTGATTTTCAAAGAAGATATCTTCCTTTTCAAATATGCCTCTAGTACTATCTCCTCTATGTTTCCTTGCTAGATCTCAATAATCCTATTATTTTCTCTGAGAACAAGTTACCTCCATATCATGTTGCACCTAATGTTGCATCACCAGATGATGCACCTCCTCACAATCACTCAGAGAGTGACACCTTTGCACTCTATGAGGATGATGTAGAGTCTTATGTTGATCCTCTTGCTCATTCAGTAGTCATCCCTGCTGAGCCAATATTTTCTATATTGGCTATTGCTGAACTTGTTGCTAGTAGAAGATCTAGCAGGGACAGCCGACCACCAATTTGGTTGAAGGACTATGTTACTCACAACCCAGGAGGAATCTCCATGTAGACTTCCTAAAGTAATTCTCTATGTATAAAAGTATTATGGACATTCATCTGATAGATGTACCACTGCTTGGCAGCAGCAATTGCCAGAACAGATCTTACTGTGACCATTTTGGTCACAGGAGAGAATGTTTCAGTGTAATCAACACCCTCCATGTAGACTTGTTGCTAGTTGAGTTCCAATGGCAAAAATGCAAACCCATCTCTTTAAAAGTTAATCTGAATTCTTGCTTGCTAAGTTTCCCATCTCCATTCTTATCATATTTCTTGAGTATACCCTTCACTTGCTCTTCACTCAGTGTAAGGCTTACACCTGTACGAATGACCCAAGACATGTTTTCCTTCTTTTTTTGTATACTGTTTCTTTTTGTTCCTATGGTCAATTATTGGTGAATAATTGTTCAACAAGGGGCGCTTCCTATATATAACGGCCAGCTTAGAGTTCATGATGAGTCATTTTCTGTTCTGCGAATATTGTTTTATTTGGAAAAAGATTAAGAATTTGTTCCTTCTTCAACTGTTTCCTTAATTATCTTTAAGGACATTCTTATTAGCGTTGTACTTTTGAAATTATGAGTTTAGTATAATACTCTCTCCGTTTTAATTTATGTGAACTTATTTGACTGGACACGAAATTTAAGAAAAGAGAAAAGAGTCACCCCGTTTCAATTTAGGCCTAAAATCATAAAAGTCTTTATCTTAATCCTACAAAATTGAAAGATCACCTAAATCTCGGCAGAAGATCATCTTAAGATCAGATAAAATGCTTTCATAATAAACTTATCTAAAAAAATATCAACACAATCAAATATATTTGTACACCTTCACTTTAATTAGCGATAAAAAGATTCTGGACCTGCCAGCCCGCTGATTTAGGTTGCGGTTGGATCAAAAGAATATGCTGATTAATTTGGGCACGGAAATTTGTGAACATCTTATAAATAAATGACTTATTTTACGACTGACAGTATAAATGATTTTTTTTACATATGTAGATATTTCTAAAGTTTTATTGAAAGATAAGGTTAATTATATTTTTTCATGTGTGTAGAACAACATCTAGAACGATCATATATCACTAGTCATAAAGAAGAGCAAATAATTAATCTGAAAGAAATTAAAATGTGGAAGATAGCTTATATCATGATTTGGCTACTAGAACAAAAGTTACATAGAAAACATGGAACATGTAGACATTTACATAGTAGTGTAAGATTTTTCTACGTTTATTGGTGGCCCAATAAGTTTAAGGCCCATAATTAGTATTTAATTAATGAGCAAATCTCATCCGTCCGATCAGTTATTTGATGGACGTACCGGATTAAGTGAGAACCTTTATAAATTGGTCATCTCCCCACCCATTAGGGTTACCGTATTTTATTTTTCTTTCTTCCATCACTAAAGTCGGCGGTAACAAAAGTTAGGGTAAGGGGTGAGAAACCAATTTGAATTAACGCTTCCGCTTCACGATGATGGCTTACGATTCAGGTATGTTTTCTGTACGATTTTGTGTAAGATTATCATGTTTAAGATCCTGATATGCAATTAAAGTTTATGCTCACATGTGGTATCACGAGCCTGGATATTTGAACTGATAATCTTCGTAAAAAAAAGACTATATCTTTATGTTGATGCGTACTGTTCTAATTGAATTTGTAATAATCTCGTTTCTGATTCCAGTTCTTTAATTTTAGGATATCTAATAAAGTATGAAATTTCTTTTATGAACTGCTAGTAATAAATTATGTAAAATTTTCTATTTGAACGAAGAAAGGTCGGACGCTGTGATGAATTTTTCCCTGTGATGAATTTTGCTTAAGATTCACCAATAAAGTGTTACTACAGTTAACGAAATCTAATGAAGTTTTATATTGGGAATGAATATTTGTGGAATTAAATTCCTCTACAATCCCACCCAAATGTATCTATTTCTTTAAAGCAGTAACCTTCAATGTTTGATTCTTTATGTATTAGGTATCCATTTAAAGTTTGCCTCATATATTTATGTTGTCTAAATTTCTCCTTTTGAATGCTTAAGGATATTATGTTCCAACGTTCTAAGCCATTATGAAAAATTCTTTTTTATGAAAGATTTAAAAATTAGATCAGTTACTGTTAACTTTAGGCTATGAAGTAATTTGTTTGGGTTTATTTAATAATTTATTTTGGGCTATTAGTTGATAAAGCTATTTATTATTTATTTTATGTATGTGATTAATGTGTATATAGTTTGTTAGTCACCAAAGTGACCAAACTAGATTGTTTAAAGTAATCACATGCATAAAATCTTATGATCTCTATTTTGTGTGTGCACTTATGTTATAGTTTATCCATAAAATTAATAAAATGCCTATAATTAAAAATTAGTGGATAAATTAATTTTCACTATTGCTAGAACTTAAGGATTTTACCGAAAGGTGAATAATTATTCTATGAATAGTGAATATGATGAGGTAAATTAATATTCTTAGTCAAATATATATTGTCTGTCCAAAGATGGCATATATATTTGGTTAAAAATATTTAATTACCTATTAAAGAATAAATGACATTTAAATTATGATAGTGTGTCGTAGTATTTACCCAAAGGAGAATTGTGATATTCTTTAACTATTTTGTTGAATCCATATTGATTTGTGAGCATGTATTATCTATTTTGCAGCTATTCCTTTTCATTCGCATGCTTCGTCTGTTACTGTGTTCAACGGATTGAACTTCTCTGAATGGCGTGAGCAAGTCCAGTTCCCCTTAGGTGTGATGGATCTTGACTTAGCTTTGCTGAATGATAAGCCCGCTGCCATTACTGATTCGAGCAGTGCGGATGAGAAGTCTTTCCATAAAGCATGGGAACGCTCTAATAGGCTAAGCCTTATGTTTATGCGAATGAATATTGCCAACAACATTAAAATTACTATTCCAAAAACAGAAAGTGCCAGAAAATACCTGAAGTTTGTGAAAGAACATTTTCGTTCTGCAGATAAGTCTCTCGCTGGTACACTAATGATTGAACTCACGACCATAAAGTTTGACGGGTCGCGTAGTATGCAAAACCATATCACCGAGATGACTAACATTGCAGCAAGACTTCAGACCTTGGGGATGAAAGTGGATGATTCCTTCTTGGTTCAGTTTATTCTGAACTCGTTGCCTTCTGAGTATGGACCATTTCAAATTAACTATAACACAATTAAGGATAAGTGTAATGTTAGTGAATTATCCAGTATGCTTATTCGGGAGGATCCAAGACTTAAGAAACAAGGGAGTCATTCAATCAATATCACGACCCAGAATTTCCCACCGACGAGACCGTAATAGCACCTAACATTTCACTTGCTAGGCAAGCCAACGTTAGAGAATCTTTAAACCAATTCCTTATTTTCATTCAGTAAATAACAATAATTAACTAAGATGAAATATAATAAGTGCGTAATATTATAAAACTTTATTAATTACTACCACCCGGAGCTGGAGTCACAATTCACGAGCATTCTAGAATTTACTACAAGTAATAGTCTGAAAGAATACAACTGTTTGAATGAAAGAAAACAGTAGGACATAAAAGATAGACGAGGACTTCAAGGTCTGTGAATGCCGACAGATCTACCTTGAGTCTCCGGACAGCGGACCAATAGAAAAATCTCGATAAACCTGAGCCGGTACTAAATTCTGCATAGAAAGTGCAGAGTGCAGCATCAGTACAACCGACCCCATATACTGGTAAGTGTCGAGCCTAACCTCGGCAAAGTAGTGACGAGGCTAGGACAAGACACCCACATATAACCTGAACAGTATAATCATGCTAGTGGCAATAACAGTAAATAAAGAAATAACGCAGAAATAATGGGAAAGGGACATACAGTGGGGGAATACAATATAAAGAGTGAGAATAATAAAAAGACAGAATTAAACCGAAAATCCTTAAACAAATTGAGCAAATAAAACTGCACGGCATCACCTTTCGTGATTTTACTCTCAGCCTCACCAAATAAATAAATAGAACGACATGACATCACCCTTCGTGCTTTTACTCTCAACCTCGCCAAATAAATAAATAGAACGACATGACATCACCCTTCGTGCTTTTACTCTCAACCTCGCCAAATAAATAAATAGAACGGTACGGCATCACCCTTCGTGCCTTTACTCTCAACCTCGCCAAATAAATAAATAGAACGACACGACATCACTCTTCGTGCATTAAACATCTCATAATATACACGACATTACCCTTCGTGCTTTATACTCTTCCTCACAATATAAATAATGCATGCACGGCATCACCCTTTGTGCTTTACACTCCTCCTCACAAATCACAGAATCAATAACAACTGATAGATAGGAGCATCACAAAGAAATCGGTATTTTACCCATAATCAATAGCACAATATAATCTCAACCTTGAATTAATATTTGAAAGTTACCAAATCTCAGTGAAACTAGATATAAATCACCCAACATTTCAAATAACCCGCTAAGCATGGATAGTAGAATTTAAGGCTACAAAATAGACAAGAATAGAATCTCACTCGCATGCTATGACTCGAAAACGACGCATAGATGCTCGTCACTTCACCTATACATCGTATTTAACAACCAAACATGTAGCAAATAAACATATAATACCTATTCCCTCAAGCTAAAGTTAGACACGACACTTACCTCGATCCGAAGGCCACTTAATTCTCAATCATAGCTTTTCCTTTGGAATTCACCTCCAAACCACTCGTATCTATTCAAAAATGACTCAGTAATATCAAATATTGCTAAAGGAATTAACTATATTATATAAATTAAATTTTCCAAATTATCCTTCAAAAAGTCAAAAATCGACCCTGGGCCTGCTTGGTCAAAACCCGAGGTTTAGACCAAAATTCATTTACCTATTCATCCCCGAGCCCGAAAATGTAATTGGTTTTGGGGAAGAAATGACTTTTGAAAAATCGCCTCACACCATTTGGTTTTTGAGAAAAATAATTTTTTTTGGCTAAATCCCCTATTTGATTCTGTTTTATGCATTGGGCGACAGTGTTCATCGCGATCGCGTGAACGCTGTCGTGTTCGCAAAGAGCAGCCTCCTAAGGACTTACGCGATCGCGGGAGGCTTTATGTGTTTGCGAAGGCTTAGCCCACCTTACCTTCGCG